GGCTTTATGAGAGAACAATTCGCTGATTTTGTGATCTCTTACTTTCCTCTTTCCCTTTCCTAACGTAACCATGGTTTTTGAAACTACTCCTGACATGACATGTTTAAAATGTCTAAGAATTTGGAACACTGCAGTTCCAATTTATGTGGTTAGCCATCGTTGTTGTTCAAGAAAAAATTAAAACCACTTGGTGAGTCAAGAAAGTACTTTTTTATTTTCATCAACTGTTTGAAGCAGACATTATATGTCATTTGCACAATAAGAAATACTAAAAGGTATTAGTCAGCCACTGTTTCAAATTCTCGGATAATTTTGAAGTCCCATACCTGATAATGTTTTCTCTCTATATAAAGACTCACTTTATTCAAGATTAAGTTCAATATTCTTATCATATTGCACATTCCTTCTCCTTCGAATGGTTTGTTGTGCATAAGGTTCCAACCTTGCAGTTGGAAGCTATATATAAAGTAAATTGTTATTCTTCTCAATTTATCAACCATGAAACTGATAAGCCCCCAATCAGGTTTACATATGCCAGGCGTGCCAAGCATGTGCGCTAGGTGCTGGGTGACGTGTCAGTGGGCTACGGAGTGCATCAGGAATATATGTTAGGGGTGTTTTCCGTGCAGGGGTACTAGTGTCTTTTCCGTTTTGGTTAATAAAAGAGGGGTCAGGTTGGTGGTGTGTTTTTTAGGTCGTTTTTGGGTGAGTGACAGAAAAGGGGAGAGAGCTGGACCTCTCGAATGTCCATGTGAGTTTGTATCGGTGCTTGGGAAAAACCAGTATCAATACAAATTGTTTTCACTCTTTTTCTCTTGATTTCTCGCTGTTTTCTGTTTGTTTTTGTTCTTCCTAGCTTGAGCTTACCAGAAACTTTATGAATAAGTTGATTAGGTAGGTAAAAGTACAATTTCCATCATAAAATTCATTTTTTTTTGTGTGGTTTAGAATTAGCTATCCCCTCTATGACTATAAGCTGAAAATAGTTAATTGTTTAACAGGAAATTTTCTTCATTCAGTCTGAATTTCCATTTGTTCCTTTCAGGCTCTTGGTGACTTGGTTGAGTCCTGTGTTGGTTCGATTCTGCTTGACACAGGTTTCAATTTGAGCCGTATTTGGGAAATAATGCTATCCTTTCTGGATCCAATCATAAGCTTTTCCACTTTGAAGATTAGTCCTATTAGGGAGCTACAAGAGCTTTGCCAATCTCATTCTTGGAGCCCTCCTTTTTCAGTATCAAACAAGGGTTCTATGTACTTGGTCGAAGCAAAAGTGAATGGTGACAATGTTTGTGCATCTGCTTCTGCAACCAGCTCGAGCACAAAGGAAGCAAAGAAAATTGCTGCAGAACGAGTATCTGTACAGTTGAAGGTAAAATCTATGTGCTTTTCTTTTTCTTCCTTCTGTCAGTGTTGTGGGATTATTATCTATAAGCTTGGGAAGAATAGAGATTTTATTACTTGACAATGCTATACACGGTTGTTCTCTTATAGAAGAGACTACAGCCTAGAATAAGGAAAGAATCTCTTTACAATAGCATGCTAATAAGTAACTTACTAATTTGCATCTCTAACTAATCAGTAACTTCCTATTTTACATCATTGACCAAATCACCCTAATCTAATGCTAATCAAATACATTTACAGCTAATCAAATCTCCTAGTATCCGACTGTCAAATCTCCTAATATCCGGTTGTATCACAACCAGATTCCTATTTTTCCAACATTATCACTTTGCTATTACAATGATGTAGGTGCAATGTTAATTAGCTTGTTTGATCAAAACTTACCCTTTAAAGAATTCAAGAATTTGTATTTCCCTATCTTTTCTTCTTTTCATAAAGGTTGAAGACCATTCATGCTTGATAAAGAGTGCAAACTTGGTTCATCAGTTTAGGACATCTTGTGCTATGTCTTTACATTACAATGAGCAGATCGCTAGATTTGTGCCAATGTAGGTGGTGGCTGCACCAACTTTTCACACCATTGACTAAAAATATTAAATCATGCACCATTTTTGTATTTTACAATAATTTCTTGAAATTTATGTTTAGATGTTACATTTCACACCATTGACTAAATTTATGTTTAGACATTGCAATGATTTCTTGAAATTTTGGATAATTTGAATTTATGATTCTGAATTTTTGTATTTTATATAACTGGTTTTTTTAGAAGAAGAAAAGAGAGTTTTCACTTACTAGGGGTGTTTCATGATGTAATTTCGGAGGCTTTGAAAGATTGATGACAATCAAGGAGTTGCTGACATTTCTTATTGTCTCTTTAAACGCTAGTCCTCGACATTCTGGAGCGATTCCATCTTCTAGTTCTTCTTGTGATATATGAGTTAATAATCAACATGTTTTCTTACGACGTTGTGCTCTATGATAAAACCATATAACACTTTTATCGATTGGCTAGTGTTCCTTGTATTGTTCATTCTAAAATTACAAAGTAATAAGTCGTAAACTGTTAACTTCCTATGAGCAAAAAAAATAAATAATAAATATATAAATAAACTGTTAACTTGCTTTGCTAGCTGAAAAGGTGCTGGTTTTGATAGTTTTTTTGTTTCTTGACTTTAAAGAGACTTCTTGTAATTAACTTTAAGCTTCTTGGGTAATTTGCTGGATGCTCAGGCTCAAGGCTTCAAACTCAAATCTAGTTCTTTGGAGGAAGTCTTGAAATCAAGCAGCAAGATGGAGGCCAAACTTATTGGATATGACGAAAAACCAATAGATGTAGCACCACCTCCCGATTCCATTGGATTTGAGAATCTGGCTTTAGAAGAACCCGTTGTCACTAAGTTTGTCACCAAAGTCCGTTCCACAAATGAACCAATGGATGTTTCCTCAAGCAAACCAGCAACAAGTAAACAGCCCCAGTCTAATAGCAAGGCCATTAAAAATGACGACCTTGACACTGAATCACAGACAATGGGTACTGTTATTTTGTCTAGAGACTTTTGATCATCATGGTAATCAAGTATTAGGCATTTGCCATAACTTTTACTGTAAAAAACTCATCTTTCAGGTACTGCAACAGCGAGATCCCGCCTGTATGAAGTTTGTGGTGCTAACTTTTGGAAGCCTCCTTTGTTTGAATGCTGGAATGAGGGACCTGGCCACTTGCAATTGTAAGCCTAGTATTTGATCGTTGCTTTGAGCAATAGAAAACTTTGATTTTTCTCCAAATGTAGGCTTGACTCAAAGAAACATTTTCTTTTTGCAGATTTACTTGCAAGGTTTTGGTTGAAATAGAAGAAGCTCAGGATATGATTTTGGAGTGCTTTAGTTCAGCTCATCCCAAGAAGAAAGCAGCAGCAGAACATGCTGCGGAAGGGGCACTCTGGTTCTTGAAACAACAAGGTTATTTGTGTTGATAACCAAATTGACACGTTTCTTTTAGTTTATTTATACACTAATATATATTTATAAATATAGATATATATTTTTAAATATATGCATGCATTCATGTTATGTATATATTTGGCTCAAGAGATTAGAAGGCCTCCTTTCCCAGTTATATGAATATCTTGTATTTACTAATGAATATAAACCCATGGACTCCTATTTATGAATTCGTGTTTTTATTTATTTATTTGGTACAGATTTCGAGATCTTTAATTCTATTCTTTGTATCTTAGAAACATGATGAAACGGATAGCTAAAAATGCTAATATACGAGATAGAATCCATTCCTTCTTTGAAGAAGTAGAAAAATAATTTCCTTGAAGGTTGATTCGGTACTTGAATAAGTAATAAGCTCGTATTTATGGATGTGTTTTATGAATATACTATTCATTAGAGAGTCAATGGTACTCAAGCATAAAGATGTAATTAGGGAGGTTAACGGAATTTACTTAGCTATAATTATGCATTATTTATAGATGATTGATTTATATGTAGTGACTATATCGAATGGACACTTCAAGTTCTTAGAAGTTAATTAAAGAGTTAAATTAATTATTAATTTTATTAAAGCTTGAAATTATATATCTATGAGTCTCCACGTCATTCTTGTCATATTTGTAAGACAAGATGAATTATCAAGATTTATTATCACTCGAAATAAATCATGTGATTATTTAATTAAATTAATTTTGGAACACACTATGATGAGACAACAAGAGGTCACACGGTCAGGCATAGGGACGTGCAGGGGGTGTGTGACATAGGTAGAATCTTATTGGGATTCAGTTGCTTGCTCTCTTAAGATTTCTGGTTTGCTTGTTTGACAAGTTTTCCAATCAAATTCAAAAGGAAAGTGAGATATGACTTTATTTAGATTTGAATTTGAGCTAAAACTGAAAATTAGATAAAAGAGAAATTTTCTCTCTCTTGCTGTAGATTTACGCCAATCACATGGAGGTTTCCATGTGGTGTGGCCGGCCATGTAGTAAAAAGGAAGGAAAATTTTGTTGTTAAAATTAAATGGGAAACTGTATTTTAATGAGATTAAAATATAGAAATAACTAATTTTTTGTTGCTTTGTGTTCAAGTTAAAGCAAATAGGTTCTCTTTTAGTGTTTTATAAATATGAGACAATAGAAAATTGGAAGAGAATTTTTTGCTCTAAAAATTCATAGGTGACCGAATTTTAAGAGAGGAAAAAGAGAAGAAAAATTATTCCAATTCTCAGTTTCTTTGCATACATGTGTTGATATTAAAGGAATACAAATTAGCGAGTGATTAAATCCAATAGTTCCATATTAGAGCCCACACTCTAAGTCTTGCAGATTTCATCGAGGAAGAATCGGGTTTTCTAAGAAAGCATGGAGCTTGGACTGTTCGTGGTCAAATACATCAAGTTATCCGTCTAATCATTCGTTAGGTATCTATCTTCATAAAGTAATATGATTAATTTATTGTTGCATAAATTAATATAATCTATAGAGTATTCAAAAGTTTTATTAAAATTTTTGTTATACACGATCCGTACTACCACACTTCCGTATATGAAAACATTTCGAAAACCAACTATTGGTATCCGAGCGGTCCATAAACTATATTAATTTATGCAATGATTATGTGATAATCAATATTTATGTTAAATATGTAATATTTAGGCATCATTCATTTCACCGATTTGAATTTAGAATTCAAGTTTTGCTACAGTAAAAAGCTCTCAAAAACAGTCACATCTAACTTTTTTGCTACAATAAAAAGCTCTCACATAAAGTCACATCTCAACTCGAATCAGCGAACTAAACGGGCCCTTAATTTGTATGTATGTGATGGGTATGCACTAGCATTTATTATGGATGTTTATTTTATTTCATGTCAATGAATGCATGAATGATGAATTTGGTCGTTAATTATATAGTTCCACATATCGGTTTTATTCGTTTATGAAATTTCAATTTGATTAGAAATATGACAGCAAGCAGTTAGTGGATGATGTCAACGCATAACTTTGCGAGAGAATTAGAACAAAGAGCATAGAAGATGAATTTGGTGCTTAGTCAGCTGGACCCAACCTCTAAGTAGGAGCCACCTCAGCGTCCTTGGTTGCCCTAAAGAGAAGTGCACTTTATTTTCCTCAAGAGGAGCACCGCAGCAAGCAAGAGGAAATAGAAAGAAAAAAGAAAAAAAAAAAGGCAGTAACGAGTGAGCTAAGGTAGCAGAGAGCAAAAAGAAAACTAGAGAGAAAAAAAGGACGAGTACAGGAGGAAACGAATTTGGAGCTGAAAATCTCAAGGAGTGAAGCCACAAAAGGAGACTACCAAGCTTCATCTTGTCTTTATTGCTATTCTCCTCATTTTTGGTTTATCTTTCCTTTTCCTCTATACTCAAACTATGGCTGTCTATTTTGTTGAACTTAACAGAACAATTATGAGCTAAATTTATTTGGCTGGGATGATAAAGTACTCATATATGTAATTTGACGTTGTATGCTCACTTTTGCTATATTGATACTTATTAGTTTGTTCAATATAATCTCTATTGTTCATTTTTTTGTTTACTGGCCGGCCATCATAAGCAAAATATAGTGATTTCAATTTGCTGGAAAGTTGATTGGGATTAGACCAATATTGAACAGTGTGTTGTTTAGCTAAATTTCACAAAGAGATCTAGTTGATTTGCGAGTAGTATAGGAAATTACACTTATCTCACATAGCCCAATTGAAACCCATGCTTAACATAATCTCTCTGTTTAGATTTCTCATATGAATATGTTGAAATTTGAGTAAAGAGGCGAAATCATAAGTAGATCAGAAGATTCTTGTATAAAATTCGTGTTTTAGGTTAACTGACAGCATTGCTGTAGTAAAAGTCGTAGCATAAATAGCACAGGTTGCAGTGAAGGGGAAATTGAGTCCCAATCCTTCACATAGATTGATTTTTACCTTTGATAACTGAGTGTGCATTTATTTACTTATGTTTACTGCAATTCTTTTAGTCTTTATAGTTGAATCAAACCATTAAATTTGTTTACATTGCATCTCTTGGATCTTATTAGGAAAAATATTGGTAACTTTCTCTGTGAGAACGATATTCTACTCATTCACTTTATTACTTATTTGGCACGTGCACTTGCGTAGTGAATTTTACACCAATAGTGCACCTTGGTGATATGGGAGATGTTTTGGTCCGGATACCGAACATGAAATCATAGATCTCTTCAAGGATTATAGACACGAAATACACACTTTAAGAAAATAAAATTTATTAAACCACGAATTCAAGTCAAACTCTATTTCAATTACTGATCTTAGATTTTAAATCTAACGATCAGAAATTTATATGATAAGATCGATAGGCGATCAAAGCAGAAAAATTACTGGTGACTCGAAAGTCGCAACATTAGCGAAACTTTTGTAAGTACAACAGCTTTTTTTTGTCTATATCACGAACAAGCTTATTTTTCTGTGTTGCACAAAATTGTGCCTATTGTAAGTTCAATATATGTTATTATGTGAAAAATGTTTCTTAATTCTTATTTGTTGCATTGAATGTACTTATGGACTTAAAATAGCAGTAGAATTTTAATCTGTTAAAAAGTCAAAGTAAAAGTTAACAAAAGTCAAACATTTGAATAAAACCCAATTTCATAAGAATTTGGTAGAAATGCTTAAAGATGCAAAAATATAACTAAAATTACTGTCATAATAAGAAAAGATAAAAAAATATAGAAAATCATAAAAAATAGAATATTCATCGAAAAATGGTGCTGCTTGTTGCATTAATTCTTAAAAATCATGTATTAGTTTTAGAACGCAAAAGATAAATAAAAATGTGAATTTTTGACCCATCACAGCACCTGGGCGCCCAATTGCGCTAGCCGAATAGTTTTTTGCAGCATTTTCATTTTTCATAATTTGATGGTATTTTTTGCATGCATGCTCAGAATAATGTAAGGATCGTGTCTGTAAAATTTCAAAACTTTTTGAAGTCGTTTTTATTTTATTTTATTTTTCAAAGACAAAAAAATAGAGAAAATCATAAAAAAATATAATATTCATTAAACAATGGTGCTGCTTGTTGCATTAATTCTTAAAAATCATATATTAATTTTAAAATGTGAAACATAAATAAAAATGTTAATTTTTATCTCATCTCGGCCATTTGGCGCCCCACTACGCGGGCCAGGTATTTTTTGGCAGCGTTTTCTTCTTTCATAATTTGATGCCATTTTTTGTAGGCATGTTTAGAATAATGTAAGGATCATGTCTGCAAAATTTTAGAATATTTTGACATATTTTTTATTTTATTTTATTTTTCAAAGTCAAAAAATAGAGAAAATCATAAAAAGTAGAATATTCATTAAAAAATAGTGCCGCTTCTTGTGTTAATTCTTAAAAATCATGTATTAATTTTAAAATGCAAAAGATAAACAAAATGTGAATTTTTCACCCATCTCAGCCACTTGGCGCCCCACTGCGCGAGTCGTGGGCTTTTTGGTAGCATTTTTTTTTTTCATAATTCGATTCCATTTTTTTTGCAAGCATGCTCAGAATAATGTAAGGATTGTGTTTGCAAAATTTCAGAACTTTTTGACTTCGTTTTTCTTTTATTTTATTTTTCAAAGACGAAAAATAGGAAAAATCATAAAAAAATAGAATATTCATCAAAAAATGGTGGTGGTTATTGCATTAACTCTTAAAAATCATATATTAATTTCAGAATGTGAAACATAAATAAAAATGTTAATTTTTGACTCATCCTATGTAACACCCTGAAGAATTAATTGAGATTAATTAAGGTAATTGAGATCATTAGTGTGCCTAATCTGATTTAATTAATTGAGTTAAATAATTCTAAGGTATTTAAATTATTCACAGTAATTTATTTAATCCAGAAGCGTGTATGGGCGCATTTCTAGACTGTTATATTTTACACATGTCATTTTCTTTTATTTTTCTTTTCTTTCCTTTTTTTTCCTTTTTCCTTTCTTTTCTTTCCTTTTCTTTTTCTTTCTCGTGCGTTTCTCTCTCTCTCTCTCTCTCTCTCTCTCTCTCTCACTTCTGTGCTCTCTCTCTCCCATTTGTGTCTCAAATCAAAACCGAATTCGAACCAAGAGTGATTTCAAAGAGTTTTCAACGTCAAGAGAAGGATTCAAGGTAAGATT